CTCATGAATGTAATCGCGAAACTGGGGAGAGGGATACTGTAGACGGACTCCCTAAAAGCTCTCCAACTTGTTCACGAAGGACCAGTATTGCTGCAGACCTTACCAGGCTTTGTCAAAAACAAAACTTTCCAGCCATAAGCCGTACGTCGTTTCGTTCTGGAAGGTTGTCACAGCCTTCCATGTCTTCTTCCTCTCCTTTGCTACTTACCGCGACTGCCAGATGAGGAAGCAGGCAAGGGGTATCTAATTTTTAGGTCAATATTTAGGCTCCTTTTGTGTCCGAAGTTACCATGTCTGGAACTACCAGAATCATCAAGCCCTAAAGGCTTAAAGGCCGAAACTCTAACTCCACATAAATACTTATTGGCTGTAAACTCAACTTTTCAACTTTCGGGATTCTTTTCAGGTAGCCCATTCTGAAAGTTTCAACTTTTATTTCCTTGGGTGTTGGGCCGGTGAGGATAGGGTTTACGGCTTGTCAGAGCTGCGTAAGATGGCTGACCCGCCGAACCTTGAAGCTACAATCCTAAAGCCCAACGATTCGAATCTCGAACCCTTAAACCCTGCCTGGCACGACAGGCTTCACGATTTTGTTCCGGGCTTTGGGCGTCTAGGAACTGCTGATAATGTGTTCAGCTGCCATCATGGCTAGGGTTTAATTTGAAAGATGTATGCAGAGTGCGGCACTCTCATGCTTCGGACCCGCATGGGCAAGCAGATTCGAGGTATCACAACCCTAAACCCTGAACCCCGAACCCTAAGCCCCAAGTCGGTAAGCTCCGAACCAGGGGTGGTGGAAGGAGGAGTATTTCCTCACTCGAGATGCGGCGCACGCGCAGGTCGGAGCTCAGGCATTAGAATTTGTTACATAAGTTCACTGAATCTGGCAGGCTCCGGGAGTTTCAGGGTTTGTGTCCTGCCCGTTTAGCCATCAATCCTGCAGCTTCAATATCGAACCCCCGAGATGCACTCGGCTATCTTCGGCCGGACGGGAGTGGTGGTAGCGGTGTCGGTGCAGAAGCAGGAGGGCACATCTGACAAGCGGATAGGTAGACAGAGAGTAGACCGCTCAGACCAGACTAGACTACACTAGACTAAACTCGACAGACAAACAGGGACAGTTGTGTCTACGTATAGAGTGTCCATGCACCTGACGTTTCTTTGCGCAACACAAAGTAAACCCGTTTGACGCGTTGTTGACACGTTATCGGCTTGATACATACAGCCGGCAGCAGGCCTTGAAGATCAAGCTGCACGTTCGCTTCCGTGCGCTGCTGTGCTCCGCGGCCCATGCCATTCGAGCACAGGACATCCCTAGCGTCTTCAATGGTTTGTAGAAGGGTAGTTGTATATAGGTTTTTATTCACAGAGAGTTAAGTGCTCATGATCTTGGTTCGGTCAGTGTTTTGTGTGAAGTCTAAAGTCCAGCGTCTAGGCTTCGAGCTACGGCAGGCTTTGGTTCGTCCACCAAAGGTTAGGAGTTTCGGGCGGTGCTGTGACTGTCCCCCGTAAAGGGGCCTGAAAGAATCAGCTTGGGTGTGGGGGTACACAGAAATTAGCTCTAAAGGCACGATAATAAAGGGAAAACATACCCAAACGTACAGTCAAGAATTGAAGGCATTCTAGGAGATTTGTGCCGTATGATTGTTGATGCAAAAGAGTCTGCTTCGTGCTTGTGCCGTTTCGAAGGTTCTTGTGGAGCTGCAAGCCACCGGCGTCATGGGCTAATGACATTCCATCTCAGACACCAGCAAGGGAAACTCCAAATCAGTTTTTCTAAACCCTGATTCCGGCCTATTGAAAGGTTTTAGATAGGGCTTGGTGCATTGCAGTCCCTGCTCAAAAAAAGGGTTTAGGGTTTCGGCTTGTAAAGAAAGTAGAGACTGAACACATACTGCTTGAGACACTTCAGGGAGACCTCGTTCAAGAAGAGGTTTATAAGCCTGAGCTTATAAGCCTGAATTTTCAAGCGGATGCCGAGGGTGATCATGCCACAATCAGGGGCGGTCTGTCAAGCACTAACGTCAATAACTACACGAAGGGGTGAGGGTCGTCTCCTTTTCTCGCCTTTCCCTTGCTTGGGCCGCCTCTCCCTAAACCCTAAACCCTACCCTAAACCCTAAACCCTACCCTAAACCCTACCCTAAACCCTAAACCCTCCGGGTCGTTGTCGGCCTCTTGTAGACATTCGAAAAAGCTCAAAAGGGAGAAGCGGAGCTCAAGAATCATACGCAGAAAACCCTGGAGAGCCCAAATCTCAAACCTAAACCCAAGCCGAATGCATAGAACTTTCCGATTGCCCTGAGCCTTACTTGGAGGATCAGGGGACTTGGTAAGTAGGGCTACAAGTAGGGTATCCAAAGTCTTAAATACTGAGAACCTTCAGTACTCATGACCCTACTTACTATGCCCCATGATCCTCTAAGTAACCCCCTGAACTCCCTAAACCCTAAACCCTAACCCCCCGAAAAGTCTCTTAAAATCCCAAAACCCCATACGCTTGCAAGGAGGGTCTCTCCTGGCTTTCGAAACTCTGGGGGGTGCAGTGTGTGAGGACGGCTGGACTTTCAGGGAGTGGGAACTTAGTGTTTTGGGTTTTGGGGTTTTAAGTTTAGGGGTTTAGGGTTTTGAAGAAGCGGGGGACAGAGGGGGCTCTTGCTGTAACCGGGCTGCTGGACAACGAGGCCTGCTGCAAAAAGGGGTTTAGGGTTTAGGGTCACATCCGAGCCCATGCTGAAAAGGGTTTAGGGTAGAAGGTCTTTCGAATTTGAGGTTCAGGTGGTTGGGGGGTTGAAATTCTTGGGTGTTCAGGGTTTTAGGGCCGAGGGCCCTGGGAGTCGATGCAGGCATTGTGCAAAAAGCAGAGACCCTTACCCCGATAGAACGGGTGTAGCGTTCAGGATTCAGGACCAGCCTCGTTTCAAGGCCGTTGGTTGTTATCGCCGTTCTGAAAAGCAGATGTGCTTTTTCAAGGCAGGTACGCCTGACTGCTTTCACTGGTGGCGTGGATATCCTTTCGTTCTTCGTTGCATCACTGACAGGCTTGGGAATGCTAGCAGCATTCGCAACAGAGAGGCATGAACTGAAAGCAACTGTTGCCGTGCAAGCATGCGGTAAGCATGAGTTGAAAAGGCGGACCACTGATAATTGCCAGCGACATGCTTCCACAACATCACAGACGACTCGAAGAGGCATAAGGCCTGCAACAGTTGCCGTAGGCCTGATGCTACGACTAATCGCAGTGGAAGCATCCAGCGCCACCAATCATGACCATCATCCGAGTCATCATGATCGAAAGGATCGTGCCTACACCCTAAATCCTAAACCCCTAGACCCTTAAACCCTCAACTTCAACTCTAAACCCTCAACCGAGTTCTCACGCCAGGACCTCTGCCGCTGACCGGCTCTGCCTCACTGAGCTGGACGTGCAGTTCATGCTTCTGCACATGAGCCTTTGACCGAATTCGTATGGGTTGAGACATCTAAATTGCACCTTACATGGTTATAGTTTAGTAGTGCCCGTGCGATAGGAAGGGGATTGATTCTGTTTCAAAATTTGTCAGACCCCTGTATCTAAACACCTTAAGCCCAACTGACGCTTTCCCTGGAGCAGGCGAACAAGGGCCCCTTAACAAGCAAAACACCTTAAGCTGCAGAGCCACCCAGAGAACCCAATACCCCTGAATTAAGGAATATACCTTAAATCATAACATTAAGCCTCCTATAGTTTAAGGTATACTCCTTAGTTAAAGGGTATTGGGATCTTTGGGCACGCTCCCCCCTAAGCCCTTCCGGCCCCAAACCCCTAAACCCTATCGGCCCTAACCCCTAAACCCCTCCCCTCCGAGTCTGTGCACCCGGAGCCTCTCCCAGGGTCTCCGCCGAAACAATACAAAAGATATAGCATATGAAATGTCTTGTACAATTATTTACACATACATATATATATATATATGGTTATATATATATATATATATATACACACATACATACATACATGCATGCATGCATGCATGCATGCATGCATGCATGCATACATACATACATACATACATACACACATATAAATATATAAGTAAGGGGCCTGAATGATGAGCAAGAGGAAGCCTGTATCAAACAATTTCCCTTCACCCTTCTTACTCACAAGGAGACGCCCATACCCGTGCATAGATGATGTACGTATTACAGTAGAAGCCCAAAAGTTGGAAACCCTGCAGCCATTCCCAGCACTATTTGGACTTAATCCGGTTTCCAACTTTATGGAGTATACTGTAAGAGGGGTTTTGGGCTCTGTTGTAATCCCTGGTCCTCAACACCGAGCTTGACGAGGATTTAGGGTTGGCTGTTTCGGGTTTCGGGTTTTCAGGGTTTAGGTTTAGGGGGTTGTAAGAGGGTTTGCTGTTTTGGATTTAGGGTTTCCAGGGTTTTGGGTTTAGGGGGTTTTAAAAGGGTTGGCTGTTTTGGGTTTAGGGTTAAGGGTTTTGGGTTGAAGGGTTTCGGGTATAGGGTCCAAAGGCAAACTCCAAGCGTCCTTGCCTGCAAGCCTGCAGCAAAAAGGGTTTGGACCCGTGCGTGGGCTGCTGCACTGTCTGGCTGACATCAATGGAGACCAGAGGGAAATAGGCTTCCAAATCCGATGCCCAAGTATGCCTCGACGGCTTTGGGTTTAGGGTTTAGGGTTTAACTAGGGTCTTTACCAATACTAATCAAGGGTCCTCGGAGCATCTAGGTAGTCCGCACGCATCGTGGGCATCCCATTCCCGAGGTATCAGGTCACGTTTGCCACGGAGGACGTGGAAGGGTCCTTTTTCCGGGTTTTCCGACAGTCGGACGGCGTTAGGCAGGAGTCTTCGGCTTGGAGAAGCAGTGTGCCAAGTCAGGATGTTGAGGAGGCCATGGTCTGGTTCGTCGTGATGATCCTTGCGATGCTTTGGCGCTTGTATGTCAGTTGCTTTAATGCATGCCTGGTCCGAGCAGTGCGGAGTAGTGTACGAATCCCAAAACCCAAGACCCTAGGCCCTACAGCCTACAGCCTATAAAGTTTTCTTCTATTCCTGCTGCCTTGAGCTTCTGTTGCTGCGCCTGCAGTGGTGGCACCTGTGGTGATTGAGGTTGTTGTGGGTTTAGAGAAAGCATGTGCAGGTGTTTGTTGCGCTTTATTCTGTTTCATTGCCCTGCTAGTCTTACTGTTATTGTTCTTCCGTCCTTCTGCCGTAGGAGTCAGCATGGACCCGAAAGCGGAACGCTGATTTCCTGGCGTTGCAGCTCAAGGTGCAGCAGGCTCGGCTGGAATCTCTGGTCTGGACTAGGACTGGGATTTCTGGTGCAGTGTGTCGGGGCGCTCGCGCCCTAGACCCCAAACCGAACCCTTGCATACTTCGCTTATTTTGGGGGCCTCCTGTTTGCTGGAAACCAGCCCTTGCCCCAGCAAGTCCCAGTCCTTCAACCCAGCAGGTATCGAGTGTGAGTGTCGAAAAAACCCAGAGAGGCCAATTCCATGTCCTAACCTGTGGACCATTAATTACCTCTACTATTTTGGGGGTTCCATATTAAATAACTACAGTAGAAGGTGCCCCAAACCCTATTCTAGTTATTAAGGCACCGCCACCCTTCCACCCTGCGCCCCAAACCCTAAACCCTGAAACCTCGCCTGGATTGTCCGAGTGTGAGCGCCGAAACCCTGAAACCCTGAACCCAGGCAAAAAACCCTAAACCCTAAAATCCTATAAACCCAGGGAAAAAACCCTAAACCCTAAAACCCTATAAACCATAGGGAAAAAACCCTAAACCTTCCACCCTGCGCTCTACACCTGGGCTCCGAAGACCTCAGCCCTGGTCCTGCAGCCTTAAACCCTGGTGTCGAAACCCTAAGCCCTCAACCCGAAAGCCCTGGGCCCTAAAACCGTGGCTTACGAGGTTCCCGTAGTAGCGCCCTTTTGGGGTTTAAGGTTTAGGATTTAGGGCTTAGGGCCCTTGCCCTTAAAACGGTGGCTTACGAGGCTCCCGTAGTGGTACCCTTTTGGGGTTTAGGATTTAGGGCTTAGGGCCCTTGCCCTCAACCCCAAAGCGCTGGGCCTTAAAGCCGTGGCTTACGAGGTTCCCGTAGTAGTACCCGCTTGCCCTTTTCCTTTTTGGGCTCCCGTACCAAAAGCATGGCAGGAACATGGGAACCCTTATTCTTCAGGGGCCACCGGGGGACCCAGGTCATATCCCCAAGGCGAAAGCAGCCACGCAACTCTCGACCTGAAACCTTATTCAAACCCTGAAGGCTCATAGCGCCTGAAGGTCTACGCCCCGAAAACCTTGTATGGTGAATCCCGCAGAAAGTTGGAACATGGATTATGGATGATTAGTACTAGGAGTCTCCATGCTTCTCTTTACGGGCATCAGGATAACGATGTTCCAACTTTGTGACTTCTACTGTAAAGCAGTTGCCAGCACGATTCTCCAGACCTGCGCCCTACGTAGATGGTCAGAGGACTTACTTCGCCGATTATAAGTAGACTTGTAGGTAGATCAATTTCTACTTGGAGGGTCGGGGCTCGCCTGGATCTCAGCCCTGAAGCCTAAGCCCTGCGCCCTAAACCTTGAACTCTGAAACCTAAACCTGCCTCGCCTGGACTGTCCGAGTGTGAGCACAGAAACCTAAACGAGACCTTAAACAGGCCATCAAACCCTCAACCCTAAACCTTGAATCCTGAATTCTAAACCTTCAACGGGCCATCAGAAACCTAAACAGGACCCTAAACCCTGAACCCTAAGGAAAAACAACCCTAAACAGGCCATCACAACAGCCTACAGCGACTTCGTCTCGAGGCTTCTCGTTCTTGCGAGAGGGGCGTGCCCTCTTAGGCTTCAGGGTTTTTGGGCTTAAGGGTTTTTCTTCTATACTGGGGAACCCTATGTAAAACGTACTGCTAGCTAAACGGGAACTCTAAGTAAACGTACTACTAACTAAACTATTCAGACAGGGTTTAGGTTTTAGAGCCGCGAGGTCGCCGCCTTTGGTCTTGCGTGTTTTGCGAAAGCTGGTGCCGAGCTCGTGCTTCTGTAAGGGCTTTATGAGGGGTCTATAGGGGCTATATAGGCCTTCTATCTGGGTGATTATGAGAGTTTATGGTATGCTGAAGGTGTTCGATTCAAAGCTTAGCCTTTAGAAGCTACGGTCTGTTAAGATTGACGGCTCTTAAAAAGTTCGAAGTTCGCTCATATTGAGCAAGACATGAGCTTCAGTTGTTTCGGTGGGCTCGATGAGTAGCCAAACAAGAGTTTGGATTACGGTGCGCTTGTGGGTTCCTAGAGTTAGGTATGGGCTTGCCCCATGTTTATCTCCGTCCCGCCAACGCCTCACACGTTTTTCCCCTAGGGGGTACCCTATGATTTCAACATTTCCATAAATTTTTGCCCATTTTTGACATCATACCCTCGCACATTTCACCATTAAATTTTCAGGAATTTATGATAAAAAATTCATAAAATTTTATCATAAATTATTGTAAAATATTACAATAATTTTATCATAAATTTTATTACAAAATTTTTGTAATATTTTTTGTAATATTTTTTGTGATATTTTTTGTGATATTTTTTGTGGGATAAAATACTAAAATGGGGTTTAAACATACTTATCCCCTTCCTTTACAACCTTATAATATTCCATAGTTTCCGGTTTAGGTTGTAAAATTGCTCCATCATTTAATTTCTTAATATAAGCGTTTCTTTTGTTTGCATATGTTCCTTCGGGATTTGTATTTGATTTATATTTAGGTTTTTCAGTTAATACTTCAAGTTTTTCCAACACCGTTTCCATATCACGAGTTAGTTCTAAAACCATATTGTAGATTTTTTCACTGAATTCTTCAAATTGTTCATTTACTGGCACTTCTACTTTTTCTTCAACCTTGCTTTTACCAACTGGCATATATACAATATTATATAAAAGTTTTTTTAAAACTATATATTTTTAAAACTTTTTAAAACTTTTCTTTATCGCTGGCGTTGCAGTTGCACCTCTTGCAATATGCTATACAATTGCTTATTGTATGCGTCTGATCGTTAAATTTCCGCTGTGCGGTTAAATTTGTCCTTATATTTCCGCCTATTGATTTAACATAAAATTCTACACTACATTTTTCACAGCTTCCGTTCAATCTATTTAATAGCCATTCAGCGGTAATATAATTCTTATGATCTATTTTTCTTTTTGCTTTTCTATCTTGTTCTTTATATCCTTCAACCTTTCTACATAAATAATTATATATGCATCTTTTATTAAATTCATTATCATCATTATCATATTTGAAGAATGATACATTATTTAAATCTGTGGCTCTTGTAATCGCCGTCCACAGCCAGTTTTTATCTACCAGACAATGATTATAATCAAATATTGTTATACCTCCCTCAATGCTTGAACCTTGGACGCTGTGGCAGGTAAAACAATAATTGAATATAAAATGCTTCCTCAACATATCCAGCGGTAATTGTTGAATTATTTTAGTGTGCTCGTCTTCTAAAACTACCGCATTTTCAATTATGTTTAAAATCTTGTATTTAAAATTAACTTGAAATTTATAAGTTTTTGATTTTAAATACTCTCTACATATCATTATTTCTCCTACTTCATATTCGCCTTTTCTATTTTGCATTTTTCTAATTTCATTTGCAACTTCCCTACATGTATCATTTAAATATGCTACATTATTACTGTTTAAATTTATGTCAGATGTGTATTTAAAATATTTTTTCACTAAATCCCTCGCTTTAATATTATTTTCAAAAATGTCAATATAAATATTTTCTAATTTTTTCCTATCCTCTTCTTTCCTTAATCGTTTACAAACTTTCAGATAAATATTATATTTGAAAATTTTATCCACGCAATTATCGGCGTATTCTTCGTGCTCCTGTAAATTGGTTAGTTCTGATACTGGTTTTAATTGCTTACCGTCGCCGGTAGCTACTATTATTTTATCTTGATTTTGTTCTACAAATTCCCTAATTCTGTTTAACACCCTTAATCCATTAAAGTAAATCTCGTCAAACACTATGACATCATAACCTGAATAATCAAATTTTTCTAGCTTCTCGTCACCCACAGCTATAGAAAAGAATTTATTTACTGTGATTGCTTCCGTGCCGTATTTTTGAACAAGTTTATTGGTAGGACATACAAATAAAACTTTCATACCCATATCTGCCATTTTTTCACATATATAACTCTTTCCTGAACCTGCATATTTTGCCCTGATCATAACATGCTTAGTGTTTATAACATTTGCTATTATATTTTTGGTGTCATACTCGTCTTTGATTTCTATTGCTACATTTTTGTAGATAGGTATTTTATTTAATTCATTTGGTTTTGGTTTGTATTCTTCAGGTGGTAAAATTATATATTCACCTTCTTTGTTTGCCCTCCATTCTCCTATGCCGGTTTTCATTTCTAAAATTTCTCGCGCTTTATCAACATCCCGTTTTCTTATTACAAATGCGTCTGTTTTAACACTCATAACGGATACAAAATTTTTCACTAGTGTATCATAATCTTGAAACATTTTAAAATTATGATCTTGAAGCAACAGCTCTTTTATATAAATATATCCATTATTTAACATTACACTGTCCGATAAATTCACTAAATAATAATCCGTTCCACTTGGTTCATCATACATTTTTGAATAAATGTTTTCGTCTTCTTTATCTCCCGTGAACATTATATCGTAGTGACATTCTACCTCCTCTATCTTATGTATTTTGCCCCCGTGTTTTAATTGAAAATTTGACGCCTCCTTTAAGTTTTGAAAAACTGTGCTTTTTTGCGAGGTGTTTTCAGTTTTTTCTAAAAGCCCGATATTAACATTTACAATAAGTTTTTTAATGAGTTTGTCCAGTTCCTCGTGGTCACTAATGGATTTCCCCCATAATTCCTGAACTAACTCGTTATAGTTAACATCGTGTATGAATGAAGGCGTTTTATAATACAATATTTTTAGATCGTTTGCTTCAATCTGTTTTAAATATTTTCCATAAATTAAGTTGTATTTTTTATTAAACAAGTTGAGAAACACTGTAAAATTAGGCCTAGTTCTTTTACAATCTTCAACAAAGTATAACACATAATCTGACAATTTATTATAATCCATGTCATTAGTGTAAGGTCTCCAGATGTCAAATTGATTGAATACCGGTATTTTATTAATGTTAATTAATCTACTTGTATATGCTTTCGTTATGTCTATTTCTGTAACATCTCTCGGTATGTATTCCCTAGGTTTTAA